TCAAATTCAAAATTCAATTTAAAGTTGTGGTTTTCACCTGCACGGCCTCTGCATGGTGAATCACCAATGAACTCTGACAGCCATATGTCACCAGCACGACTCTACGGTCTTCTGATCAGAGGCTCGTTATCCGAACTAAAAAGCAAAGGTGACAGAACCTTTGCAGGTGTAGCTTCCACACTGTGGAACTCGCTGGCCTCCAGTCTATGATCTGTGAGTTCAGTGGGCCTGTTTGAAAATAGATTGAAGAATGATCTTTTTAAACTGGCATATTTAATGTAGCATTTTCCTTTATTTTAACTTTTTAAAATGTGTTTATTTCAGCTTCATTATCTATCTGATGTGCTGATTTAACCTTTTTGGTCTTATGTCTGCATTTTGTTGGTTTTATTTGATGTGAGGCAGCTTGTGATTTGTCTCATGAAAGATGTTATGTGTAATTATCTGTCATAGTTCAGCCTATGAACAACTGTTTTATGGCCCATTTACAGTTTACGGTTTGTGTTTCTATCCTTCTGTGAAATTAATCACCATTTAGATAATTCAAGACCTTGTACAACCCAAGAAATAACATAACTACCATGTGATTTATACATAATATTACTGTGTTACTGAAAAATGGAAGGTGATTACACGTATCACGCCCAAGAATGCTCGTGAGCAGGTTTATTCAGTGTAAGTGTATTCAGTTCAATTTAATGCATTCACAGAGCATCTCAAGATTACCTTAAGATGCTTTTTATTATAAACATACATATTGTAAACATACTACAATAATAGAGAAAAAAACAACAACAATTGGTTGACCCACTATGAGCAAGTAATTGTCGACAACGGGAAGGAAAAACTCCTTTTTAGGAAGAAACCTCTGGAAGAACCAGGTTCAGGGAGGGGCAGCCATCTGTCGTGAGTGGGTGTCCCTCCCTGAGCCTCTGTTTCTCTACTGTTTTGTTGCAGCTCGTGAATTGAGTGACAAAAAATAATATTTCTATTCTATTCTAGTATAAAAGTGCATTCTAATGAACAAACCTTAGTATTAGTGCTTCTGTCATCCCTTTGGTGTGCTATTGTCCCCACCACCAAAAATGTGACCTTCAGGACTTTACTCAGTCAGGACTTGAGAAATAAGTGCTGGGACCGGACCGATGGTCAAATTAAGTCTACCATCACCAAAGGCATGCTTGAAGGACATCCATTTACAGGAGCTGCAATTACCGACAAAAACCCTACAAAATGCTATTTTTATTTAGTCTAGCAGCACACAGCTGTAGCTGCTGTCACCAACTGTTTTCTTATTTTACTATTTTGTTGTTTTATGCTTTATACTGTAAGCTCAATGACCCATTTTTATTCTGACTTGCATACATTTTATGTTTGATGAATTTTCCTTCTTGGTTTGCTCACATTTAACTTTGCCAGTTAGACTTACTGGCAAACAGTTTCCACCCACAGAGCGGCTCCACCTCAGAGAAATATTTATGTAACTCAAACAACAATCTGTTATGTCCCAGGGACCCATATGGGAAGCATTTTATTGTTATTGATTTAGCATTGGATTGTACTACTCCACACTGTACATGGGGAATAATGATGGTGAAAACCTTTTAATTACAGTAATTCAGTTATGGCCACATTAATCCACCATTAATTTACTGGAGGCCACATCGACGCCCCTTGGGGACACATTGAAGAATACAATCTTAATGTTTTTCTTGCACTGTAAGTGGGAGATACTATGCTTTTACATGGCTGATTCCACTAGGAGTTTCTGCTTTTCATTTTCTGTCGTGTCCTTTTTGTGGCTACATTATCTTTATTTAACGTTTCATGGCCTAAATGAGTCCAGTCTTATCTGCCTCACCTGGTGGTAGCTGTTGTAGTCCATGTTTCCAGGCAAGGGGAAACCAGGTGCTAGGTACAGCTCCCCCTCCATCATCTCGGGCTTAACAAACTCCTCCAGGTACGTGCGACACAGACGCCGGTCCCAGTCGTCTGTGATGTGACCACCATACATGATCTCGCCGAATAGGTAGCGCAAATCATCGTACGGCACCTGGGGATTACAGAGCACAGGGATGTTGTTTTGCTGGAAAGTGGCCTTTGGTGTTTAGCTGAGGTCGCCCGTGTTCGGATTTCCAATTAAGATAACAAACAGCAGGCTTTGTAAAGAAACATGTGTACCTTTGGATTTGCCTCCAGATAGTTGTAGAGGACGTTGACAGAAATGGTGAGGTCTCCGGTGTTAAAGGGGTATGATCTGTTCCAACCTTGAGGACCAAATTTCCTCCTCTCTGCCACCACCGCATGGAAGTAGCAAAGGGCAAACAAAATACTCTTAAACTCATTCTCCCTTGCGCACATTTCCAGCGTATCCTGAAACGCAAAAGAACAAAAAGCGGCATCTCGAACTGTTCGCACTGGAGTTATATCTGCATGTTACAGGTAAAAAGTTGTGGCAGGTAGCTCTGTGATCTGCAATATTTTGTCAGATCCCAGCAGTGCTTCATGGTAAAAGACAGACAATGAGAAGACTAGATGGCAATAAAACCAACGATGAGATTCCCTTTTTTAATTGTCACAACTTGTCAAGCGCTTTCAGCCTTCAACTATCTCATGGGCTCATTATTCCAGACAGGCAAATAAAAAAGTGGACATAAATGGCACTGTAATCTCAGGGGGGAGTGATAGTTAAATAAGCTTGCCAATAACCCCTATGGAAATAGGAAGGCTAAATTCTCTTTATTCTAACATGTGTCACAGAGTGCTACGGCGAAGGCCTTTTCGCTTCTGCTACTGCAGTGCCCAGGGGAGCTGACTCTGACGATGCACGTGTAGATTGCACAAGCAGAGCGCAGGCTGACTACCACACTCACAAACACACACACACGCACACACCCTTTTGGAGATTTAGTTAGTATTCTGTATGGTGCTCCTCTGCTCAACACAGCTGAAAGAGATGCATAGCCCCTCTATTCATGACCTGTGGACTGGAGAAAATCGACATGCTGTGCGATCGCAGAGAGACAAGGACGCATAAACACATGTCGAAGCCCTCGCACATGCAAGGAAACACACACTTTGATATTTATGATTTGATTAACATCTGGGTATGCAAGAGTCTGAAAAAGCTGTGTAGTCTGATACTGTTAAAATGATTTCATCATTTGAATGATTAGCTTAGACAAACAGTAAATTCACAACAGCTTAGTTGTACCACCGTGCTGATATTACTGCTCTAGCAGAGGCTGTTTACAAGCTGCGATGCTGTATGCATCACATAGACCAAAAGAAAAGAAATGTCACTTCTCTGCCTTTTGCCGTGTAGATGGGCGATTACTGAGAGTTAGCCAAATATTGATTAACTTTCACTGAGTACACATGATTGGAATATTCTCCCATCCTCCCCTCGGTGGACCTCCCTGTAGCTCTGCATAAGGCAGGGCTCACAAGCATGATGCTCTTATCAGACAGATACACATCGGCAAACTAAGGATCATGGAAATGGACCGGGAGGAAACTGAGCACTCAGGTAATGGTGCAAAGGAAGATGCATTAGCAGCAAAGCACAGAGGTAATGGTAAAGCTTAGATAGAGACTAAGAACTGATAAGGTAAAGTAAAGCTAGGAGAGGCCACTGCAGCACCCTGATCCATTCTAACTATGGGGCTGGAGAATAGTCTGGGAAAGTGATATTGTCTGGATGTGTTCCAATAACTCACACAAACATCAGCAAATGGACTTTGCTGAGGTCTGTCGTCAAGTAATCCCTCTTTCTCACAGCAGAATGTAACCAAACTTTTAGCGTTAGCATGTGCAATGATCACATCTGTCCTCTTCAGGTCAGAAGCAATTCCAGGGTGAGTGAAAGGTGAAGCTGCCATCTGCTCGCTGCAAGACTTCTGCAAATTGGCAACTTGATGAGAAATCGGGAACTGACATGTTTTGTATCAACTGCCACTCACAGCTAAAAGGAAAATGAGCATTCAGAGGTAGGTAGCATGTAAAATCCTAGAGAATCAAGAGAAGCCTCAAAAGAATAGAAGATCCTGTGGAACGGGCGCTTCAACTGCTACGAAAAATAGCTTTCCTTTCTTTAGTTGTAACCTCATGCTCCACTAGCGGGTGTAACTAAAAAGTTAATTAATAAAATGGTCACAGATCTCTCAGCTTTCTGTGCCAAGTTTCAATCAAATCACATTTTCTTTCTCTCTACTGGTTTACGACCAGCCAGAAATACTCACATTAAAAACACAGTATTACGACGCAGCCCTTTAAATCATTCCAGACACAGCACAAAGGAATCTTTCTTCATTCATTTCATTCTTATCATGTATGCTTATTTAGCTGAAGTAAAGTTAAACAGGTCTACATTTTGGGTGGCTGTAGCTCAGGAGGTAGAGCAGGTCATCTACTGATCGTAAGGTTAGCGGTTTGATCCCTGGCTCCTCCAGTCTGCATGCCAAGTATCTTTGGGCAAGATACTAACCCCAAGCTGCTCTCCGATGCATCCATCGGAGTATGAATGTTAGCTAGGAAGCACTAAAAGCTTAGAAGTAAGTGATTGGGTGAATGTGGTATGTTGTATAAAGTGCTATATAAGAATCAGTCCAATTTTAATTGGCACATCCACCTGCCCTAGACCAACATTAGTCTTATCTAGCCTTCCTTTAGCTACTACCTTTGCTTCTCTGCTGTAAGTGTGG